CACCAGACATGACCATTTTGTTCATGGTTTTGCAAGCGTTATCTACAAGACCTTTTCTAATAAAACCTCGGATCAGATTTGTGCAAGAAGGGAAATGGGGTATTTGACTTTTCCGTGCCATGATATCAATCAACCTTGCCGCAACTGTTAACTTTCCCTCACTGCAGAGCCTCTGAAGAATTTTATTGTTGGTCATTTCATCGTTATGAACAAATGGTCCCTCTGGTGACAAAGTTGGAGAGTCTACACTAGTTCCCTCTGGTGACTTGTTTGAATCCACTAGCTCCCCGGGTTTTCTCCTTTCACCAACATAATCCCTCCCAAAGCCCCAATCTTCATGGCCAACCTCATTAATTCTATCAATTAAAACACTTCCCTGAAAACTTCTACACCGCAACCCTTTCCACGGAGAGGAATATTTAGTTGTACAGAAGTAATCACCAAAACATAATCGGGGTAGGGTAGGTGGTTTTTTTCTTGAACTAAGATCCAAAGCAAAACTAGCACCCAAAGTACAGCTCTCTTGTTTGTTACCACCAAACAGACCTTTCAAAGAATGGGAGCTGAAAATATTACTCTGCAGAGTAGCTAAATATACCATCTTAGTTGTTCAGGTATACTGATTGGACTCTCTCAAGCTATAAAGTTGCACTTTTAGGTATTACACCTTCCTAGCTCAATTAAGCCCAGTAAGCAGACCAGTTCGGAAAAGACCTATCCTCATCTGCGAAAGTTCAAAAGCAATATATTTGTTACAATACTTACATTCGAGAAAACCATACAACTAGTAATATAAAAGAAATTCCAACAAGCATGGCATTCACCATTAAACAGAATTTGTTACCATCCTAATCCTATAACAACAAAAGCTATACATATTTAGGGATGGTTGGTAGAAAATGGAAAGGATAAGGCAGCGTTACATTTTGTAGAGGAGGAAGGACAATGACAATTTTGATTAATGTGGTAAGCGATGCCTAAAGAGAACATTTTGGGTAAATTAATTTGTAAGAGTAGAAATTGAAATAATGGTTAAAAAAAGATTAGGGAAGTTGTGCGCAGACTGACCAGTGCAAGTGCAGGGAATTTGGAGAGAA